ATTCATCATTCGAAAACATCGTGATCAAATTCACTCAAAATTTAAATTTCTCAAAAATTTGCCCAAGAGAAAAACAAATGAACGGATATTATAAAATCACGAAGAAAAACACACACGACATGATGTAGTTTAATTGGATCAAACGTTGCCTCTTTGGCAGTGATTTTTAAATTAATTTTTGTTTATTAATTACAAAACACTTACTCCCTAAAATTACATCCATAAAATTCGGTCTAAAATAGCATGACATACACCTGAGAAATTTTGTAACGCAATAGGATTTTTTTAATCTTCACAAATGTCAAACAAAGACGTAAAAATTTATGCAGTGGGTTGAGGGAATTCGATAAAGGAAAATGTTTTCTTCAAACACTGATGAGGATTCTACGTTCTTTCCATTGACTGCGCGAATTTTTGAAAAGCCCATTTGGAGAAAGGATTGCATAATTTTAGGATATGACACGAATTTCCGTTGGCGTTAATGAAAATGCAAGAAATTTGCATTATGTGACTCGTTATGTAGTTCTTTTATCGTGTAATTCAATTTGGGTTGATTTTCGTCCGCGTGAATTTAATCTGAGCTCTTTTTTCTCCAGTAAACCAGCAATTATGATGTCTTATCGTAGCAGAGGGTGTGAAATGAAAATAATACCATTTTTGAAAAGAATTTTCTGTTCCGAAAATGGGACGAACAACAGTAACAATAGCAGTAACGATGTTTCGCGTTAAAAAAAAAAAATCCAGACAACTTTCACGCTCATCACAACAAATCCTCCATCAAGAGCTCATTTCAGTTATTAATTTTTTTAACATCACACTTCGCTTTTTAATTAGTGCTTGGCATAATTTCGAGTTGAAATGAAATCCAGACAAAGTTGAAAACGAATCTGAAATAAAGTTTTTGAAGCATTAATTAGCTCCTTCTGTTTTAGTGCACTACAAAATTACATGAAATTGAATTTTTTTAGATTTTTCCCACAGACTGATTCCCGCTGCAATCAAATTCTGTTATTCATATTCAAAATATTATCGTACGAGAAGTATATCCAGTTCACTGGTTTAACCACGACGCATATACAGTACAGTAATATTATATCAACAACAACATCAAAAAACTCTAAATTATAAATGGCGGAGGCAATTTTAAAAAATTTTAATCTGATTGTGATCGCTAAAGCTATCAGTTTCTTTTTCATTAGTTGGACGAGAACGCATTTAATCCTCGTCGTCGAACCCCTAAAACCGGCGATAACGAATCAGGGCAGCGATAAAAATTAAAGTATACATAAGCAAAGCGATTCGAAATAACCTGCCACATCCGTGGAGTATATAAGACTTCTTTAAAAATGATTTGGATGAACATGCGGAAAGATTTTTCAATTTTGAAATTAAATTTTGAAGACAGCTTTTAATCATCAGGTACACATTATTGGCGCTCTTGAACTCAACCGCAGGTTTTATTTAGGAATAATTCTGTGAATTCAATGCATGATGGCCTTTAAAGTTTCAGTCTTGGACTCATCATACATCAGCTCTGTCTGGTCTCTGTTTCAATTATCTATAACTATTGGCGATAAAAGAATGTCTTCAGCAAGTGCTGTGAAACTTTCACAAAAGAATGTGCCATCTCTCAGAAACAAAAAAGAAAAAATACCAACCCACTGGATACCGTCTCCATCTTTGGTACAAGGAATTCCATCCAACAACCAGCTTGGTTTCTTCGTCGAAAATCGGGCGTTCAACCAGCAACCCGCCGACGAAAGCAACAGCCCAGGCCGATGCTTTCTTCACGTGACGCATCTATATATTGACACCAGCACTTTGACGCAATTTTTGTGTGTGTGTGTGCTAAACTGACGAGAGAATTTCCGAGTTACCCTTTCAAACAGCTCCAGATCGTACACATTGTCGTCGTCAGCAAAATAAACCACGCCACGTCGAGTCCCGTTGGCGCCATCAGCTTGATCTCGAAGCCATTTCAAACCGGTATTTCTTTGTAGCACACCTTTGCCCCAAAGAATTATAGTCCTGTTCTTCGAGTCCTGTGAATCACAGCAAACATTTTTCTTTAGTACACACCGCTAAAGAAAATGTAAAAAATCGAGATTCAACTCGGGAATCTACATACCAAAACTTTTTCCTTATAATATTGATGATCAATATACAGTAGACCATCTCCAAAAGATGACTTGCCGGTGAAGAAAAAATCAAAGAACTTAAAGTTAAACACGAACTTACAAGTGAGGAGAAATGGAGGAGAAATTTCGGGGCATAATTTATTGAACAACTTAATATTTGAAGGTGTAAACTTGCAAAGGATAAACGGTACAGTAAATAATACTTGACACGTTTATACGTGTCGTTTTTTTACGTCAAGAGACACGTTTTCTAAGTAGGTGAACGCTGGAAACAGGGAAGACTGTGTAAAATGAGTACTTGAAAATCAGTTTTTCATATGTACCCGCAGTGCTGTGGTACGTGAATAACACTATAGCTTTCAATTCAGTAAAATTCACGAGACATTTCTAGGCTGAAAATTCCCTGTATGCCATGATATGGATGGTGTCTGCACAGCATTTACAAACATGACGTACGTGCAAAATACTCTGAAATACTGCACTCTTTGAGTCATTCGTTGAATTATATTCTATAAAAAATTTTATTCCAGCAAAACTGAGCTGCTGGGGTATTGACCTTTTTTTACGTGTTATTTTCATCTTGAGCTCGCATGACGAGCTTAATTCCGCAAATCTTTCTAAAGTATTTCCATAGGAATCGTCTGATTTCACTACATAACTTTCTATCATTAGTAATTTGTCTTCTTTTTCTCCTCAGTGCCAGAACAGATGAACAGCTGGCTTGGAAAAATCATCTTTCGGTTTGTCAGAGCTACAGAAATAACCATTATCAGAAAATAGACTGCATCTCAATTGAATCTCTATAGTCATGTTTATTTGGTTTTTTTAATGAATTGTTGACCGAATGATGATACGTGCATACATGTTTGCAATTACTCCGATGGGAATGTTGTGAACAAAATTTAAGCCATTTTAGGACGACAATATGTCGAAAAGGATTCAATTGAAAAACACTTGCATATATCGGAGATCGGTTTTTATCCTACAATTTTAGGCAATACAAATTAGAAGTGCGCGTCTTACAATTTAAGGAAATAAATATGATACCGTTTTAGTCACAGAAAAATTGTGCCTTGGTGAAAGAATTTTTCAGGAACAAATTGAATTTGTAATTGCTTTTTGTGGAAAATGTGAACTCAACCAACGAATTTTATCATGAATATGCGAAAATAAATGTGTATATAATCCCTCACGATTCTGAGAATAAGAACTATATTCGCTTTACAGGAAAATGGACGTTTATTAATTTTGCAACATTTCCCGTAAGAATAACGTCCCCATCGTCCATACAACGAGCGGGTAGTTTAGAATATCTGCTCAAGGATGAAGGAGAGTATTTTGAAAAAAAAAATTGCACTGAGACTACTGAACATCTGTGAGGGAAATTTTTGCTGTCACAGTTCACCTTGAGTTGATTCCGAAAGCGGCATTTTTATGTGACGTCTTTATATGCTGCAACCGTCATAAAAGTTATTTTAAACGTGCCAACTTCAATTATTGTTATTTCAATGTTATACTACTGCTCATAAACATAACGGTTCTCAACATTTACCATATCAGGCATCTATACACGCTAAACCAGATTTAAATCAATGGCCTTTACCTTTCGTGGCTTTGGTTTGATCGTGAAAGCATTGAGATGAGTGTACGGGACTCCACATCTGGACAAATGCTTCGCCACCAACTGCGTCTTATTCTTCGCGTCCTCAACGACGATCCAATGCAACCGAGGAACGTGCATAAAAGTGTGACAGATTCTGGGTAATTGAGCAAAAATAAATATGCCTTTATGCCAGTTTGCTTTGGTGAGGCAGAACTGATCACAAACCTCGTCAATTCAGCTTTCTGGACATGTCGGGTATAAGTCGGAGTGATCGCAAAAATAATTGGCAAATCGGCATGGAGCGTTCTGCCTTCATCTTCCTTGGAAAGAGTATGATATGCATGCCCTGGAATTGTGGTTGTTAGCGCCTCTAGAATCAATTTTTATTGAATTGAGGCGTCCAAATTTTTCAACGAAACATCGAATTAGGATGTATATACGGGGGTTGTCCCACTCCTGATACTGACCATGAGTATTTATAGAGAAGGTACCACTTGAAAAAATGATTTAGCCCATCCTATTGTAAGGTTCCCGGATTTTTTCAGATTTTTATAGCAATATTTAGATTTACTGCATGATGATGATTGAAAACTTTCTGGTTTTGGCGAGGGTTCTCCACTCACCTCACAAGCTGCTAAAAATGTTTCATGCCATACACAAAATGTAAAAAAATGTCTTGTTTTTAGCACAAACTTTATTTCATTCTTGTGTAATTTTCAAAATCTTTCAATGATTACTTTGTTTGCAACGAATGAAAACCTAAGTCCATTTTCTATTTTTCTAAGAACAATTTTTCTTTTCCAATTATTTGTATGTTCTCTTCAAAAATATCATCCAAAGCCTGATTTCTGCTTATTGTGATATGGTTCTTATTACCTTGAGATTTCAGGAAACTTCTGTGCATTATTTTCATTTTCTGCCTTAAGGTCTAAAGGCAGGATGAGGAAACTTGTCTAAGCAGTGTTAAGTGTTGTTGGTGTCGGTTGCTGAAGTTTTCTCTCCATTATTGCACAAGGTCCATCTACGATTCCCAATGATTAGCGTGATTTTCATTTCAGGAAAGCAGTGCTTCAGTTCTAAATCTTGAATCATTATGCTCACTTCATTTTCTATACTTCAATGGTTTGGATGCATTTCAAAATTTGTGCTTGTTCTTCTATAGAAATGTATCAGTTTTGAAAAGAAGAACACAGAAATTTGGAATGCACAGGGCATTCCTGCAATTCAGGAGAGAAAACTCCAGCAACCAACACCAAAAACATCCGACACTGCTTACAGACGAACGTCGCCTTATCCTGCCCTCAAACCTTACGGCAGAAAATGAAAAAAATACATAGAAGTTTCCCAAAATCTCCATGTAATAAGAAACATATCACAAGCAGAAATCAGGTTTTGGATACTTTTTTGACGAGAAAAGAAAAATAATTGAAAAGAAAAATTGTTCTTAGAAAAATAGAAAATGGATGTAGTTTTCATTCGTTGGAAACAAAGTAATCATTGAAAGATTTTAAAAATTAAAAAAAAATGTAAGAAGGTTTGCGCTAAAAACCAGAAATTTTTTTCAATTTTGTGTCTGACAAGAAACCTTTTCAAAAACTTGTGAAATGGGTGGAGAAACCTTGGAAAAACCAAAAATTTTGCACTTATCATCATGCAGTAAATCTATAAATTGTTATAAAAATCTGAGATAAATCCCAAGCTTAGAATAAGGATGAGTTAAATCATATATATTTTTTTAAGGGGACCTACTCCAGAAATACCCAATGTTAGTCGGAAGTGCGATCACCCTTGTATACTGTATATGGGATATATTTACCCTGACGAGAATACGTTCTCTCAAAATTGAAGTGTGATCCAAGGAATGCGCCGATAACGAGAGAAAATAAAGGTAATGAGACTCTGGTTACAAATCTTGCACGCAAGAACATATCTAAAAATATACAGTATATTACCCTGCAATCCAAGGAATTATCATGGGAAAGATTTATCAGCAGCACGTCCAACAGATCGCCACATGAACACGATAATGAAAAAATTTAATCATTTCATCTTAATATACTGTATTTTCAAGAGACAACAGTTTTCTTTCATACGAGTCTGAACATATATAGCAGCTCATCAATCATATCTCTTCAGAATATATTTGGAATGTTACTTTCTAATATGTATATACAGTATTTGGTTCACGGGGCTTCTAAATTCAGAGTTTATTTGGAGTTCTAAATTTGTATTTTAGATTAGGCAATACCTAAAAGTCTTGTCCAAATTCGACGCTCAATCCAGGGCCAGATTGAACAAAATTTTGGCCTGATGCTGCACCAAAAAAAGGGCCTAATTTTCCTTTGCAAAAAGGAAATGTGAACAATTAAAAGTATAATTTGTAGAGAACATAGGATTGCTGAGGCTAGAAGTCACTCACACATATGGTAGAATTTCATAAAAAAGAATCTGATTACAATACATTTTTTGATAATGATTTTTTTTCGTCCTGGCAGTTTCTCCATAGGCACCATTTTATCATTTTGATGAGCTCATTTCATTGAAGGAAAGGATGCACCATTCCAATTTCTTGAGACACTAAAGATTTTTCTAGAGAAGGCTAGGGGTTCAAAAAATGTACAACATGACCTATTTCTTGGAAATTATTTAGCTACATTTTTAGTTCTACGCCTTTCGATCTTTCAAAGAAACAGTATCCTAGAAGATATGTTCTTCTCTTTGAAAGAGCAGAAAGGTATATGAGCAAACAAGTTGATTCAGAAGGAAGTATACAGAATTTTTACTAGTACAAAGGTAGGTTTAATGAAAGGCAATATTGTACCTATTTCTTTCAAAATTGTTCTCCTCATTTCATCAAAATACTGTACTTAGTAATCATGATAGGTCTTGATTCATCTGTTTTAGATGCACTCTGAAGTTATGGCCCCTATTTCAACGAATTCCAGCATGAAATATATTTAAAAACATTAATCACAAAACTACAGCATTACATACTATATGGCTGCTCCATATGTATTTGCTCCAATGTAAAACCAAGTAAAATTGAGATTTAATTTGAAGTGTTTGGTTAAGAGGGCACAACAATATTAGTTGTTCCACTCATGGCACAAAAGATGTACATGATCAAATAAATTAATGATGAAGAAGTACTGTATGTGTCTGCTTTGTGAAACAGAAATTTCTCATCACAATTTCAACTGTAACTTGGATTGCATTTCAAAATTTCATCCAGTTATTCCATTTATTCAAAAATTCACAGAATTTAAACACATGTGTGGCTATAACTTTGTGATATTTTTACAAATGTTGTGCCCAGGATGAGCACTTTAGATTTAAAAAAAATTCCCTCTGAAGAAACCCTAGAGTGGATGAAAAGTTGAATATTTTGTTCTGGTCCTGCCCAAAATTTTGAGAAAGATTCAGAAATCTTTTGAAGTTTGTTGGTGACATAATTAAAAAAGTTTGTGAACAAACTTAGAATGCAATGAAAGGCTCCACAAAAAGTCAAGAAAAATACTATTCAGAAACTTGGAAATCTCTTGATTGCCTCCAACATTTTCATACAGACTATATACAGCTATATGGACAAACTAGAAAATTCATATCAAAACTGTGGATTGCCAGACTCCTGCTATTGGAAGTCATGGTAGAAAATATGGATAAGACAAGATCCCCATGGCTCAGTGTACAGTATAAAATTGCAAAGGGGGTGGGGAGGGGGTTAGATCTGCCTGTTTCCCAGGATGCAAGGTAGAAACGTTTTTTTTTTAGGGGCAGGGGTGTTCAGTGGTAAAAAAAAAACATCTCCCATGCAAAACAGGGACACTTAGATTTACAGAACCCTGAGCAACAATGTCTTATAAGAGGGGGGGGGGGGGNCTTATAAGAGGGGGGGGGGGGGGGGTTGTTGGTCTAATGAGTCATAGCAGGGAATGCAGGGTTAAAAAAATTTATTATTTTACATCACAAGTGTTAATAAATTACTGATGTTTCAGAAATAAAAAGCATGATTTTTCAAATACCAGCAAGAAATCACTTCAGAAAATTTTTTGAGGCCACCAAATGCTTTTGAAGTGGGGACAGGAGTGAAAATGTTATCCTGCCATGGGTGGCGTGAGTGGAATTGAAATCTCTGTTTGAATTTTCTCCTGTCCATGATTCCTTGGCCATGCATCTTCCTGTTTCTGGCCATTGATCTTGATTTCCTTTTTTAATGCAGGAATGATTGTGTGCTCTGAACTGATTTTTATGTCCTTGATCTGGTTTCCTCTTCAAAGATTTTTATATATGCAGTGTGTTCGAATTTATTTATTGTTTCCTGATTTTTAAAATCATGAACACTTTTGTATCTTTTCTGCTTTTCTGAATTTTCATAATTTTAAAAAGTTTTAGTTCCCTAGCTTGGGAATTTTAAGTTTGAAATTCCCCAAGCTGGGAAATTTCAAAAAAAAAATTCAAATTCTCAAGGGGCCTATTTGCCTGGTGGGCCTAATGCTGCAGCATCAATAGCACCCACATTAATCCGGCCCTGATTATATACATTTGATTATTTTCAAGAGACAACAGTTTTCTTTCATACGAGTCTGAACATATATAGCAGCTCATCAATCATATCTCTTCAGAATATATTTGGAATGTTATTTTCTAATATGTATATACAGTATTTGGTTCACGAGGCTTCTAAATTCAGAGTTTATTTGGAGTTCTAAATTTATATTTTAGATTAGGCAATACCTAAAACTTTTGTACAAATTAGACGCTCAATCGTGAGATGCACAATAATACAGTACTTATAATAGTGATATGATTCAGAAAAAACGTATGCGCTTCGTGTATTATTCTGGGATTATCCTAACTGTGCGAGTTAACCAGCCTATTTATTAGCTTATTAGACAAACCAAGAACCAACATTTACGAGTATGGTTGTGAAATGTGGACAATTTATTTGGAGTAAAACACAAGTTCCTTTTTTAGCTTGAATATTTAAGGAGAAATAATTAGGCAATTCAATATTTTTAGGACTTAATATACAGTACAGTATAGGACTTCTGTTTCCACGCACTTATACATCCGTACATGCTAGCTTGTGTCAATATTAATTAAAGCTTGGAATAAAACCATAACCGCGCTATGCGGTATTTTTCCCCATTTCTTATAAAAGGCAACACATAACTTCTTAGGTAAATCACCCTTTTTGGATTAGTTCATTGTCCATATAAGCTATGTTATTGTATGGCTTGTTTTTAGTCGAGTTTAAATCGTGTTTGAATGAAGATACTTAAATTTTGGAAGCATTTTTCATTTTACATTCATCAGCTGCATTAGCATGTAAGAATATTACAGAGGGTCAAGTGCGCTTATTCAGTAAAAAAATATGCAGCAAGGTCGGCAACACCTTCTCTGAGGTTATTCACAGGAATCACAGCATGCATTGGTACAATAACAGTATTAAAACTTTTGTTTATCAATTTCTGTGCAGACATCAACATTTTGATCGTTCAAAACTAGAGGAAAACAACTGGAATATCAAGCTGGATATCATTCTAATCGGACAACGTTTTCTTTCCTAAGGAAATATACTTCCACAGCGGATCTTTGGGCAGGCATGCAATTGCTTTACCACGGTCGACATCAGTGAACCCTTAAGGAGCACCACAAAGCGTCATCTGCAATTCAGAAATCTTCTGAAATACAGTACCTACTACTTCACCCTTTCCCATGACTTCAACTCGCATTTAACGGATTCCCAAAAGAGGAGGAAGAATGGAGGAGATTCCAGGAAAGGCTTGCTGAAACTCTTGGAAATCAAACTATGATGAAAACATGTCCGTAGCACAGTATTGAACAATTTCATCTTTCGCGCATCTACAATTGTTTCAAATACTGCAGTTCATATTAAGGATGTCACAAAATTCAATGGAAATATCAGCGAAATGAACGAGAGTAGGAAGACAAGTTTATTTAACAATATTTCAAAATCATGAATTCCGGAAAATGTATTCAGAGCAATGATTATTCATTATACTGTACATCAAAATATAAAATGATGCACAATAATTTGATTCTGAAAATTATCGGGCCATATAAAAATTCAAAAATCTAAAAAAGCGTTGAAGACCTCGAAAGTTCACGGTATACTTTCAAGATGAAATGAATAGCACAAAAAAGATTGGGCGAGAATTCAAGCCCACGATCCCGACAAATGTTCGCGACTAGTAGATTAACCCACGCAAATGGACACTGGAAAAGAATTGAAAAATTTGTTTCGTAATTTATTACTTCCCACAGCTTAGCCCCGAAGCATCCTGGCTTCTCTCACTCCAAACAAGATAAAAGAAGACGCACGCAATTACAGTGCTTGAAAAAAAAATAACCGACCAAAATCAAGCAGCAACAAATAAACGCAGCCAGGATCGCTCGAGAAAAAAGAAAACTGCTCCACTCACGAAACCAGACGTCGAAGTACTTCTGGAAGTTGAGTTACGCATTCGAGTGTTTCAAACAAGACAATAAAAATAAAAGCGATACTTTCAACTACTGACGTACGACCATTCGTGAAGCAATGATTAGCTGAACAACAAAACATTTCTTTAAGGAACGAAGGACACAAAAATCACGTAGTATGAATACGAATAAATTTTCTTTCTACGCAACGACGTTTCCGCATCACTCCGATGCCGTTCGTCTACAATTAATATTAGACCCGAAGAATCCACTGACCCATTAACGAAGAATCATGGCATTACAGAAAATGGAGGAGGTATTTTATCCGTAGACACTGAGGCCCATCGTAAAAGCATAGGTCCGAGAAATCACGTACATTATTCAGAAAATCTTGCTTTTCTCGACAGCCGGTTTAGGTCGGAACGAAACAATCAGTATACGATCCCAACACGGTACTACTGTGATTGAGAAACTTCGAAAAATATAAAAACTGCTATTATGGTTATTTGAGACACCTTATTACTTGAACTGCGACGAATACCACTAGAAACAATGTTGTATCGCAACAAGCGTTGTTTGATTATAAACACGCTGACTGCTTAAAAGCTGAACTAAAATGGGAGACAAAACCCCGCAATATTCAAATGAAAGTACTTCAGAAAAAAATCAACGACGATGACTCCTTCACAAATTTCCGACGAGAACAAATGAAACGGAACAATAAGTCGAAAGCAACGACGAACATAGTTTGAATTGATCACGGGCCACCAATTCCTCAACAAAAAGGATCCAGGAATGGATTTTGGTGGTTACCCAACAATGCTTTCAGATAGTTGGCACAAATGTTCGGCCCCTGAAACAAACAAGGTTGAAATTTTAAATCAAATCACATCGTGAAAAGTTCCACAATACTCACGACATAGTTTTCTTTTCGACAACTTTTGATTCGGGCCGAGCTCGGTTCAAAATTTTCAAAAAATCCGTCGTCTTTGCCCTCATCCGGGAATGAATGAAAGCCTTAGAGCACTTGATGTGATAATGCAGGTAATCTCTGAACATGTGTATCAGGTTGATCGTGTTGTCTCGAGACGCCTTGCAAGTGTGCCTCGGGAACAAAACTGAAAAAAGCGACCAAGATCTGAGTTAGAACATGTTTTCTCAAAACATCACAAAAAGGTGTTACGCTTTCATACACTCATTCAACATAATGTTAACTTACCAAAAGTAATGTATCCTATATTGTCCCCAGTTTTGGCATCAGTATTTTGAAGTTCCAAGGGAGGTTCTCGATGGGAAAAGAGTACCTGAAATCGTTGAATTATAATGAGATGAACAGATATCAATAAAATGCTTTAATTCAAATTCATCATACTTGTGGCGCTGTATGAGAAGCTCTACGACCTTCCTTGAATTCTTGCATGAAAACCTTGCCTATAACTACGTCATCTTCGTGTTTAAAGATCGTACTAAAAACAACGGTCACACGGTCGGCTTTGGCTTCAACATACCTGAAAAAAGGGAACGACTTCATAAACCCCTCACCACCATTCTGCTCCAGAATTTATACTCACAGCGTCTCTTCATCCCTGTAATGAATTACAGCACGTTTATTTTCTTCAAGCCCTTTCTCCTGAAACTCGAAGTATTTTTCGAACACCGAGGCAAAGCAATTCCGCTTGAGCAATGAAGCCTTCTTCACGACTTCTTCCCAATCACTCGGAACGCTTTTCAAGTCGTATACCAATGATACGTTGTATCCTGAAAAAAATAGGTACGTATTCAATGCAGAAAATCAGAAACGTTTCACGTTTTCCTGCCTCGACGAAATTCCGGTCTAAATGACGATTTAGTGCTGCTTTGATGAAACACTCACCAATGAACTCGAGTAAGGGAATACCATACAATGCATAGATCCGTTCGTTCAATCGAAAAATTGAAATGACCCGAAAAACTTCAAAACTTTTTGATAATATAGTTGGAAACGAAAAAAAAATCAAGAAGTGACCTAATACGAAAGAATCGAACGTGATTCCACGAGCAGGTTATTTCAGTCAACACATATCACTCAGCTCACCTTCTTCAGGTTCAGCAAGGTACTTTTGATACTCTCGTCGAAGCAAATCATCGGCCCCGTGTTCCTGGAGGTCTTTATAAAACTTAAGCGAAATGCTTAATCGAAGTTGGCTCTTGTCACCGTCCAAGGTAGAGATATGGAAGAGCACTCCATCAAAATCTGCAACTTTAACATCCGTTGCCTCAAACTTATTCCTGTTGGGACGACATAACCAAATTATACTAAAGAAATTACGAATTTTGCTTGAAGTAAGCATTACATACCCAGCTAACGCTTGCTGAAACTTGTTTGTGAGCGTGTCGAGGACAATCCGGTTGTGGATTTCCAATAAAATCATTTTGGTGGCTTCCCGATGTGGCCACAAAGAAAAAAGCACGCACGGAAGAGGTACGACACCGAATCACAGACACGGAGGTCAACGAGACCTCTGGCGTAAGTCCAGATCGCGCAAGGACGATCACATTCACAAGGTTAACACAAGAATCGACATGACTGCCGGATCACATTTAAAGCCTTAAAGACAAAAAAATCAAAAAACCAGAAATAATCGAAAGGCACACCAACATTTCGGGCGAACTATAAATAAGACGAGCACGGCAGAACTGAACTATTGCACCAGTATCTCAGTTCACAGTATGCTCTTTCAAGCCAAATCCAGGTGATAATTCTACGAAAACTTTTTTGGTCAAGTCAACTCCAGCTAGCAAGGAACGCTTGAGCTCGTCAAAGTCAGTCGAAGAAGAGATACACGGTCCTTTCAGCCCGACTACTTGAGCACCATTTTGTCCCTTCGGTGGCTTTAATTCGGCTTTAAAAAACTCAGCCAATGGCATCATCCATTTCTCAGCAGTAAAAGTGGCGCTTTGGCAAGTCTAGAAAAATTAGTAAAATTTCATGACGGTCATGGAAAAAAGACACATTGATTATCTTACTTCGGGCACGACGCATCTTCCAGTTATTCGATTTTTAGAAATCGCGAACAGTGCAACAGGCAGCTTTCCTGGACACAGGCGTGTTGCTTTTATTAATGGAACGTCTAAGTTACAACATTCTGGTCCGAAGTCCAGAAAACCAACCGCAGGAAAACTTGAAGAGCCCTCACTGTTTTTCACGATCTGCTCCACCATATCCTTCATCTGGAAGTTTACTCAAATGAGAAACAAAAAGGTGCCAAAAATATTCTATATCACGATAACACTCCGAAATTTCAACTCAGACCGACGTCCGGTGGAAGGGAATCCTGTCATGTTATGTACTATTAAGTCGATTCTAACCGACATTGATACAAACTTAAGTAGATTTGGGAGGGTTGAAGTACTTACCAAAACGACAATGCGTTTATTTACGGTTTTCCGAACAGAATCAGCGGCAGCGGACAACTCAGAATCAAATTCTCGCTTCTTTCTGTAAGAAATGGAATCCTGGACATTCTTGAATAGCTTTCTAACTTCTTTCAAAGTCTCCAAAGCGACCAACGGGTTCGTATCTTGTTCTTCCTGGACTCTTTTCCAACATTCCCGAAATTGAATCGAGTATTTCATATCGTTTTCGTCCACGATTTCCGCATTCGCTCCGGTAACAAACTTCACACTGCGAACACCCAACTGAACGGATCTGTTTTGAATAATCCGAAACTTCCCCATGTGTCCCGTCATTCGCACGTGGGTACCACAGCATGGTTCCCGAGAAATTCTGTCGACTTCAATAAGGTAGACATTGTTTTCTGAATAAACTTCCCCAGGAACAGTCACCAAACCAGGCAAATCCCGGATCTGCGACCAGGAAGTGACTGTCCGGTTAACCGGTCGGTTCTCGGCAATAACAGCGTTCACCCAGTCCTCTACTTTCAGTATTTCATCGGTTTCATCCAACGCCTGCTGTTTGAATATATCCTTGTTGAAACCGAAATCAAACCTGTAATGAGTTTCCGTTGAAACCAATCAATTATGAAGATAGTATCAATATACTTAGAATCAGAACTAAAAGCCCTGTCGAATTCCGCGAAAAAAAAAAACATTTTAAACAGAAAAAGCTGATTCTAAAGATTTCAAATCCATGACTAAAATGCACGTTTCAGGGGCAACTCACCTGGCATAATCAGGTCCAACCCAGCTAGATTTCTGAGATATCACCGAATCGTGTTCAGAAACCTTTCTAAGACCGGCATTCAATAAATGAACACCAGTATGATTGCATGTCACTTTCGTTCTCCTTTCCGGATCGACTTCAGCCATAACATCGTGTCCAATTTCGAAAAAACCGATGAGAACAGTACCTTCATGAACAACATGAGCTCCGCCAACAGCATACACGTTATCCACACGAATCAATCCTTGACTAGAGCGAACGAATCCTGTATCAGAGACTTGCCCACCAGCCTCGGGATGAAAGGGAGAATAATCCAACACAAAGACTACTTCGGTGTTCTCAAGATAACGATTTCGGCTTTGGAAGTCTTTACCTAACGCAAACAGAATCTTCGCTCGCACCGATAGCGTGCGATATAGAGACTGCGTTTCGTCGAAAGTGTACGACCATTTCAAAGAGTCATCCGTCGGAGGAATATTTGCTTCCACCATCAACGACCGTAGCCGATTGAGCGATCGAAAATTTGATGACATTCCTGCGTCGCCTTCGGTATTCTGCCGCGCATCGCCCAGCCTGCTTTCCAAGGCTTTTACGTCACATCGTAAATTTTTCAAGACACAGATTTTTTTGAACAAATCCGGCGACACATCATGCGCTAGACAGAGCCTGCATGATTCAGCTAATGGCACAGTTCCGTCAACGAATTGACCCAATCGGATCAAACGATTAAATTCCTCGATCAACTGGGGTAACCCCATATTCTCGTGAATTTTCTCCACTCCAAGATCATCAATCGCTTTTTGACCACCTATAGATGAAACGGCTGCACGAGCAGCCGATTTGATCGCTTCGTATCTTCTCGCTTCGTTCAATAGAACAGCAATCGTTGGTGTTCGTGAGCGTGGTAGCTCTGGATACCCTGATTTCAAGCTGTCTATCACCACGTCACAAACCGATGGTATTATTTCGGCGCCAGGTAATCCGAATGACTTCTGCGAATGATGGCAGAATCGATGGATGACATTCCTCAACTTCTGGCTATGAAAAAACAAAGATCATGAATAACAAAAACGTAAGTTCATCAACTTTTAAAGGTGACAATATATCACCTCGCCGAAGGTAACAATATATCACCTCGCCGAAGGTAACAATCCATCAGCTGTGGCAACAGTAAACATGCGCGCATGATCAGCGATGATTCTATAGCTTTCGTCGAGATCGGAATGGTGCGTAAAGCTTCCAGAATATCGTTCAACACCTGAAAGCTGAAAAAAGGTAATGGAAACTGAATTGCATTCTATCCTGAAACCAAGCATATTCCACAATGAGGCGGAATCATGAACACACAAGGAAAAAATAATAAAAACCAGGCGGGACTGTTCGATCACTTCATCAGCTCTATGCTATATGCGCCCTACACCGAAGAGCCTCACACGCACAGGAAGTAGAAAAAAACGATGCAACGAACAGCAAGGCTATCCAAATCTGAATTTGGGACACGATTCAAGGGAGGAGTAAATACTTAACAATAATAAAAAAAAAAGTGTAAGCCAAAATTCAACTTCTCAGCATTGGTTTTGTGATCCTGCAATTACATTAATGTACAATTATACAGTATAGCACTTGGGCCAAAAATGCAAGCTTACAGTCCAGACTACGTCCTGAAAATAAAACCCAGCGCGTAGAAAAATCATGACAGACCTAAAGATATTTTACTTTTGCAAAAAACTACAATACAGTACATGAACACACACCTTTTGAACGAGCTCGAAAATCGGCGCGAACAGGTCCGAATCATAATTCGACGTTGTTCGATTGAGGACGGCGAGTAAGCGTTCCAAACCCATTCCAGTATCAATGAACGTTTTCTGGAGCGGAAGCAAAACGCCTTCTTCGTTCCTGCGCAATAACAATAGGATGAATCAAAATTTGTCACAGGCGGGAAGAATTGCTAAGCCATTGGTCTGACAACCGAAGTCATTCGGACGCCCTCAAAGAATTAACACACAGGAGAGACGCGAGAACGCTCCATTTACATAGCATCCCCCAGCGCTATCCCTCACCACTTCTCGCCCCGCCCAGGAGACGGACAGATATATTCGTTATCGCTGAAGTCTAACGTGCGGGAGAACGCATTCGCGAGATTTCGTCCTCGGTCTGATACAAGCTTACAGGGTGTCACAGAATAAGGGTACCTCAAGAATTTGAAATATTACCAAATATAGCATCGAACGAAAAAAATTACCTGTTGTATTTGATGAACACGATGTTCCACAATTCCGTTAGAGAGGATTCCCCCTTATTCACTAAAGACACGGCCTGCGATAAAGGCCGACCGGGAACATGATCGTAATGAATTTCAGTACACGGACCGCACGGACCAACGGAGCCCATGACCCAAAAATTTTCCGTTGCACTGAATTCCAAAATCCTCTCCGCGGGAACCCTATAAATGGGATAAAAGGAGCAAACACAAACAGATGAACTTCGGAAACATTTCAAAACATTCACGAATATTCATTCTGAGTTCTGACAATTGTTTACCCCAATTTAATCCAAAGTTCTTTTGTGTCGGTATCACTCGGCAGCCCTAACTTTGAGTCTCCACCAAAATAAGTGAAGAGCAGTCGATCTTTGGATATCCCATAGACGTCTACCAACAAACTCAACGCAAGCTTACAGGCCTCCTCCTGCAAGAAGCTCTGCAGTATATTTTTCTTCTGCTTGAAAGGGTGATACGGTTAGCTCACCTTCCCATAAGCATCGAATGACCAGTTACCGAGCATTTCGAAGAACGTATGGTGATAGCCATCCTTCCCGACAGTCTCCAAATCGTTGTGTTTACCACCCACTCTGATGCACTTCTGCGAATTGGCGACAGCTGCGTAAGGAGGTGGACGCAGCCCGAGAAAAACGTTCTTGAACTGATAGAATAAACCGAGATCAAACTTGAAATGAAACACGCAGCATGGAAAAAGTCAGGTACTTCAAAGACAGAAATGCGGTACAGTACTAACTTGATTCATACCCGCATTCACGAACGCCAGGGATGGATCTTGCCACGGAACGACAGAGGAAGAAGCAACGTGTTTGTGACCATGATTTCTTATGAAGAATTGCAGAAATGTTGATCGAACCGCTTCAGATGTCCAGTCAACCAAGGATGAACATCTAGCAAAATTTTGGCGGCCCGACAATCGCCGAATGTAGATGGGAAATTTCGAACCAAGTCTAATGTCAATGCGCGAAGCAGCAGTCATTCCCGATGTGCTGAAGATCAACAGCTAATTGATCAGGGAATGAGAACACAGAACTGAATTTTAAAAATTAATAAAACAAGAGCCGCCTTTACATTCAAAAATGTCACCCGTTTCAGAAATCAGAGCTGGCCACACCTTCACGAGATACACTTTACCCGCGACTTCGACGATTCAAAATTGAAATAAATACTATTACACAAGATGACCATTCATCGTGTATAGTACAGCTCGTTGATTACGTCGACATGAAACATAAATACATGGAACGATTTTAGAGATCTTATTCAGATCTAGGCGTGCAGGAACTAGGGATAGCTCCAACCGTACACATGTTACTAATATAGTAGGTGAGTTGAACTGAAGCCTCGTTTTAGATCTTTACATGACTAGGTGTCACATTTCTCAAGGCATTGGAGATTAAAAGAAGAAAATCAAGACAAGTCTGTACGGATTTCTTGAGATTGAGCATTAAATAACGTAAAATGTTTTAAGGGCGGGAGGAGACTTAAATGTGCGTTTGCATTTAAATTTCATTTTAGGGACCCAACATTGTAGAAAATCATCAACAGTACCAACATCAATATGCATCAGGACAGCATCATAAGACCTAACATGATTGGTGTCTGTTGGTCTTATAAAATTATGATCAGCACACTGAATTCAAGGAATGCATGTCGTATGTTCGAAAAATGCAATAATTTAGCGTGGTCACCGTGAAATTAAATTGCGAATCATGTCACCACCTGGATCTGGGACTCGCAACGAGAAACATTCCATCAATTATACCTGTTCCTTGTTCCTTGAGTGTGGACGCCGAGTGGGACAATTCGCATGGCTCCGCCCTAGTCAAGTGAATCCGAGGTCACTGGAGGAAGGAATTGTAATCCTCATTTCATTGTTCCTGAGATTCGTAACGATTCTCGCAGTGTCATTGTCACTGCCGGTCCTCGTTTACTGAGGTCGTCTTCGCGAATTTCTGACGGACTTTTTTCGTGGGTGTGAGTTGCTGCTATCTGAAAACATCCGTTAGGTGTCTTTCCACGGCATTGAAGTATGAAGCTTTCAGTAGTCATCGTAATGGTCATCTCGAAATACGATCGTTATCATTGGCTTCTTGAATGCATCTGATATGTCAATTTCAAGTGGAATGATTATTTGGGACTACTGCATCGTCCGAGTGAGCGCATATTCTCTGTGGACAGCAGCGTTTCTTGAGGATTTTTTGAGTGATGCTCGTGAGAGAGAGGTTCATGACGGGTTAATCCTTCATTTCTGCAATTGTTTCTTCTCCAGGCCTGAATGTTTGTTAAGTGGGTGTGAAAATGAGGGATTTGTGTCAGTTGCGTAGGAGTGTATTTTTGTATTGTAGGGCGCAGCTGGCACTAGTTCTTCATCGGAATGAAAGGGCGTGAAAGTTCCAGCTCACTTCACTCTTCGACTTCACCTGCTGAATATTGTCTTAGTTTTCCGCAAGAACGCGACGTTTTTGCGGCATTCCGTTGTCGAAACATAAGCGACTCTTCACGCTGTCCCCCTGATTATTCCGCGAGTCACAATTAACCTCCCTGCTACAGTAGTAGGTTGCTTCTCTTCGGAAATCAACTACCTCTAGCATCCTTGACCTCATCATGGCTGGGAATTACATCTTGGTCGCAGAGGAGGAAAACGAGGAGCCGATTGAAATTCCTACCGAAGAAGATGGAACTTTGTTGTTTACCACGTTGTGTGCTCAATTTCCGGGAGCTTGTGGTCTGAAGTTCCGCAATCCGGAGACGAATGCTTTACGAGGAGTTCGACTTGTTGACGATGGTTTTCATGCTCCGGAGGAAGGCTGGGGCAACGGAATGTATTTTTGCGTTTTCCCCAAAGGTGAGTTATTGGTTTTTCTGGGGGCGTTTTGCCGATCTGGGATTGCTGCTTTTGTCGTGGATCGAGTCGCACGTGGTGTGGGAATGAATTGGTAGTCATTGGAATCCATTGAGAAACTGATAGGCTTAGTTCCCAGGGAAACTCCCGCAAACATCGTTCCATTTTGACTCTCCTGTTCGTCTGAAATTCGCTTAGGTCCGTGTTGTAGAGCAAAAAACATATTTTCTCCTGATTCAGCCCAGGAATGGGGTTCCTGAATGAGTCCCCATCTGATACAAATATTCTCTCTCATCATCTTGGAGTTGAATTGTTTGTTCCTCGATAATATTTCTTCGATCGATAACAGAGTTTGTTTTCCGTTTCTCACATCGCTCTCGATTATGGTCGCCCTCCGTTCATTGGTCTGGGCTCGTGAGTCCAGTCCGTTTCGGTTTCGGCTGACGTGCTTTCGGGAGGATTTTCGTTCCTTAATATGTGGTGATTCTGACGTATAATCATAATATCTGATCTTTTATGCTGGATCGTCGAATTTCTGGAAAGAGTTCTCGTTGGGATATAGAATTTTCTTGGAGGTAAATAAAGCCATACAAGCACAAGTTCAGTAAAATTTAACTTGTGCACAATTTTGCCGTTCTTCATTGTTCCTAGTACAGTACATGCGTGTAATAGGTTAAGTGAATCAGTATGGATGTGGTTGACTTATCGGAAGCCTTTGCGAAGAGCATGGCGACTCTTACAGGTGTGTAGTTCTCACGTTGTGGAGTGATACCTGAAATCTGTGGAATTACCGGAGTGAGACGCTCTCCTGGCTAAATGTTGAGTCGTTGCCGATTTGTTGTATATTTACCCTAGATCCCCCATCCGCTCACATTTTCTTCGACGGTTTTGTAAATTTCTTGCGTTGAATACGGAGATCCACTCTTGGAAATATTTCTTGTCGTGGTTATGCTAGGTTTTCATGTGGTTCATTCGAATCACTCGAACCTCTTTCGATCTGATTGAGATAGCGTCACATATATTCTAATCCGAAAAAGCTAGGGATGCACCTGTAAGAAGAAATGGAATGCGCGATTGACGATGAGAACTGGTTTTCAGCATGAACTAAATGATTGAGATTCAAGTGCAAGTGAGAACTTTGGTGATGGCTTTATGAACATGGGACGCTAACCGCATTATACGAATGTTGTACTGTTGAGTTCAGTGAACACATCTCTTCCTTCATCACATTTGATTTTTCATGGAAAAAAAGATCGGGTGGTGAGATAGTTACGCCGTTTCGAAATATTTTCATCAAAATAGTCTTGTAGTTGAAGGCACCGCATTGATACCAATTAATCGTAGAAAATTATATTATTAACGCCGAATATCCAACAATGAGACGTCTCCCGCTCACTCGAGGTAGGTGTTGACGTCGAACCACGAATGAAGACGAGGAGCAAGATCTGTACCTCCCGGTGATCGGAAAAATTTTTGTGTGTTATTTTTGATAGATTTGAAGAAAAAGGGCGAAGATGACAAGTTAGGAAAATGCAAGCGATCCCAGGAGAAGCAGAAGTGCTCCGACTTGATTGTGCTGGGATTACCGTGGAAAACAACCGAGACGGAATTGAGACTGTATTTTGAGCAGTTCGGTGAAGTTCTCATGGCGCAGGTACGAATGTCTCGGTCTCGTATTCTCTTACACGCATCAATAATTACTCGAATCAGTTGAAAGACTGTACTCTCGATAAGCCGCAGACCGTATGTTGCAACATGTCTAGTACTGCACTTAATGCATAATTTTATTTATATTAGGTGAAGAAAGATCCGAAGACGGGAAATTCGAAGGGATTCGGTTTCATTCGGTTCTCGCTGTTCGAATCGCAACAGCGCGTGCTTGGTCAAAGACATATGATTGACGGCCGCTGGTGTGATGTAAAGATACCCAATTCGAAGGCCGCCGGGGTGAGTGCCTATTTGGTGAGAATACAGTTCCGAGAAGCGCCGTGGGATGGCCGTATTTTTTAGCATTCCTGTCTGCAACGAAAGCGTTTGAGCTGGTTGGGATGGGAAAATGTCACGTTTTTAACCGAGTTTTCAATTTTGTAGGACTCGACGATGCAAAGTCAACAGTCACACGTGCCTTGTAAGGTTTTCGTCGGACGTTGCACGGAAGACATGACGGCTGACGACTTGAAGGATTATTTCGCCAAGTACGGGGATGTCACTGATGTTTTCATCCCGCGGCCCTTTCGAGCATTTGCGTTTGTTACATTCCTCGATCCCGACATCGCACAGAGCCTTTGTGGTGAAGATCACATCATTAAAGGGATTTCCGTCCATGTTTCCTCTGCCGCCCCCAAAACCGATTCTGGATTAGCTAGGGCAGCAAGCGGACCGCCAGGGGTATCCGGGGTCGCTTGGGGCCGTACAGGCATGTCGGGCGGACGGTCGGACCTTGGAGGACCACGTGGTGGCGGCTGGGGTGGTCAAATGCCCCCTGTGAATCATGGGGGAGGGCGCGAAATGGCCCAGATGCCACCCCCTCCTCCAGGTGCAGGCGGACATCAAAGTTCCGCGCATCAGGGTGGTACTGCGGCGCACCAACTGGCACCGGGCTTGAGTCCTCTAAATCTTGCCGGTTTGCCTCCTCAAATGAATTCTGCTATTGCTGCTGCGTTGCTGAATCCTGCTTCATGGACGCTGTTCTCCAACTTGCAAGGTGGCGCTGGAGGAGGTGGCGGTCAACCGGAGCCACAAGGGTTCGTATTCAAAATAAAGCTTCTTTGGGGAATGAGTTTCTTCCCGTGTTTTGAGAATCCTTTCCATCTTGTCGTATTCCTGAAGTTTTTAAATTGAATTTTATAGCGTCTTTCGCTTTTGTAGGCACGTTCATTATTTCCTGAGTATCACTTCTAGCGTCTTACTCGTATTCATTTGAATCAACTATTGTGTTCGAAGGATTTCATTTTTTTTAGCAAATGCTGTCTTATTCGAATATCTGTCATTCTTTTGGCGTGGAACTGCTGATATTTCATTTTTGGTTTGATCTTTCATCGGCAATTATCTTTTGGCTTGCACTCGAAGAATTACACTAATTCTATGTTTTTTGTCACTTTGCTATCTCGGTATTCGTATTTAAGCGCTTGATGATTTATTTCGTCCCGATTTTGTATGACTAGGACTCACAGAATTTTTGAGAAATAATTCCGCAAATGGATTCGCTGAAGGCATTAGTCAGCTGATATTGTGCTGAGCACGTTTCATGGATCAGCTTTTTTGGCATTCGTTTGTTGGTTTATTATTGACTGTGAATCGCCTTAAGGTGGAGGTTTTTACATTTCAGGGTTGTGTGTACCGGCATAAATTTTGAATGCATATAGCATATGTTTGATACCGAAAGGGGCTTTCTTGATTTAATTCCACTTCGGCTGCCGTTTGATTAGAATTTTTTGAAAGATTTGGATAAGTCTGTTTTTACAAGGGTCTTTTTGTTCGTTCTTTGGCGGTTTGCTAGTACAGTATCCTGCCAGTTTGATCTACTTGCTTCGCGGTACTCCGAGCGTCGTATGATTTCGCATGTCATTTTTCTCACAACTCTAGTTTTCACATCGTATGGATCCGGTAGACCATTTTATCCTGTACAATTAATTTTTGTGTACACCATGATTCACGACCGCGATAAGTTTCATCGTAGTGCAGCTTTTGAAATTGAGTCGATTCAAATTCTCAAGTGAACTCCGTTCATGGCTTCATCAATGCTTGTACAGTATGTAAAATGCGTCGGGATTGCAGACTTGGAGTAAAATTCTCTTCGATGGCTTCTGTGGGTTCACAATTCTGGCTGGTATTCTACAGGTTTCCACCTCAGTGTCAAGGATTCCCTCCACAAGGATACGGTCCTCCGCACCAGCCGCCGCCACCCCATCAAGGTTATCAAGGACAGCCTGGAACCGGAGGCCCGGGAACTGGTGGTCCCGGTGGACCTCAGCAGGGTCCTGGCGGCTTTATGAATTGGGGAGCGCCACAACCGGCCACAGCTCCGGGAAATCACGCTGCCGCCGCGGCATCGTCGGGTGCCACGCCGGAAATTTCGCAGTCACAAACCATCCAAGCCGCCACCTGGCAGGCTAATCAGAGGAATGATGCAGGGCGCCCTCAAGCCCCGGGCCCTCCCACTGGCTTTCGTTCCTCCTATGAACTGTGAGTTGATCTTACTCTATTTTTATTCTACTGTATCATGCTCATTTCGACACCAATTAAAGCAATGCCCACATTCATTTTGACTTCATGATTTTGAGTCGCGGTTTGTGATTTTATTCTTCGTTGCTAAAATAATTTAATGTTACTTCGATTATCCCGGCTAACGAGTCGGTACTTATGCCCGGCTTATCTCATAATGCCAAATGATATACAGTTTAACTGATCAAAAAATCAGGAGTGACTTCGTACATTTTCGCAAGTCTTGAAGTTTATTATACGAGTTAGGTAGATCAACAGAGGGTAAGAAAGGGATTAAAGTTAAAACGAAGAGGTACCGTATGCATTCCGAATTGTTCGCTTTCAATTAATTAGCAATGAGTGAATGTTTACTTGAAGCCATTATAATCGGCGTTCCACGACATGGAACGCTTATGCCCATAAAATTTTCGAAATTTACCTTTTCATTATGCGGACGTCGTAGCTCAGCAGTAACATTTTATTCGTGCTTGAAGAATGTAAGTGGGCCTCAATTTTGAACTATGACTCCTGGCTTCTTAGGTAGTTTTTGAATGGAGAAATAATAATCTGTATTATTGTATCTGTAAAAATAATGTTCTATAAATCTTTAAAGGTTTCTTGCGAATGATGGGTTTCTTTTTTCAGGGAATGGGAGTGAATTGAGTTTGAGGAGTGATTGAAGAATCGTGAGTTTTCTTGGTGTTCGAAGAAATGACGACCCATCTACAAAAGTTGGAATTTTCAGAATCGAGAAAATGCTATATTTTCCTTGGCGTGGAATTCATGAGTAAAGATGGACTTGCGTGTGCTGAGAAAAATGAGCGAGATGGCGTTGTGGCGGGAGCTAGAGTGGATCACGAAGTCAACGGTGAAGGTAACCGTTATGCGCCTCGTCTAGACTAGAAAAAACGAGGGAATGGGATTTATAATCGATATTATTTGTTTCCGGGCGTGTGTAGATAAGTTTCGTGAATATCTTATCGACGGTCATGGTAACTCGTGGGAAATTTTCTCTTTTTTTTTGTTGCTGAAATGATCGGCTTCGTGTTATTTTTTGAACTGGGCGAGTGTGAGTGTATGTTGGTTTATCTTATTCGTTCTTTTTTCAAACCTGATACTGACTCCTTCACGTGAGAATCGGTCATCGTTCTGTGGAAGCTGTTCTGACCGTTTTAGGTCCGCAGAAGATAGGGTCCGCTTGTGCGGGTTTTTGTTTTGTTTTTTCCCCCCTGTTGAGTTGGTTCCTCTTGGCGGCGCGTGCAAGGAGCAAGAAACATATCTTGCTGCATTACGATCTGTTGAACCGTCGCAATCCCTGGTGTTCGAATTGCCATAAGGAATGTCCGCGATTTGATTGAAGCCGTTTTGTTGGATTGTTTTTACCGCCTAGGATTCATCCCGTGATGATGGCTTTCTGGGTGTTTTGAAGGGAAGTTAGATGTATTTATTCCACCTTGGACTTACTGGACAAGGCAACCGGTGTGATCAAAACGTAATTGGCTGATGTATCATCTGTCTGGTTGGAACGTTGAGGAAGTGGTCGAGTTAACGCACGATTGCGCGGCGAATGGGGACTGAAAGGAAAAAATTCTGGAATTAGATGCAATTTGGCCAGTGCGTGAAGAGCGGTTGGTTGAATGAAAAACGAAAGATTCTGACGGCCTGGCTGGCATCCGACACCGCGACTTGGTACTTGCACTGTTTGAATCTGTGTTGCAGTCGCATTTCTAAAGCACCCTCTGTTTTTACTTCTTCTGTTTTGAGTATGAGTAAGTGGAATTTGTGTGCGAGAGTTTTTGGGTGTAAGGATGGCGGCAAAGCCCATTGGAAGCACCTTGAGAGCTGTTCTTCGCACTTTTTTGCTCATCCGCGTGGGCTCTGGGTTACCATTATCTGATAGTCCCATATGTACGGTATATCTCCCTTCTTGTGCATAACTTTCGTGCTGTATACTTTCCCCCGGATCAAATCACGGCTATTTCATTAGTGGTTACGATTTTGATGAGTACAGAATTGAAACGGTTTCAGAAAATACTCCGTTCGTATCCAAGATTGATGATCATTGCGATCAATGACCTTGCGGGTTTTTTTTTTCTCGAGGTGATCATTTATCGAAAAAATTCATGCTCATTATTTTTTGGGAAGTCACCCGGAATCAGAAATAAGCATAACTTGCTACGTAATACAGGAGAATCTTATACAGGTTATACTTGCGCCCCCCATCATTGCAGAGGATCATCCAGGTTTGATGCTAGTGGGAAGGGTGATCATAGAAAAGTATATTTTTATCGAAGGTCCATGAAAGCTCTTCCCGGCGGATGAGATGTAGATAATCCTCGCCTCTCTGTGCAGCTCAGATCCCTATTCTTGGAGTTGATTTCGAGCATGTTGAGTAGTTTGTACATAAAATAGAATGGCATTGCCAGTTTCATGGTTTTTCTCCGCGTGCTGAGGTTGTTTGTCGCTGTTCTGATCACTTACTTTCTTTCTGTGTTCTCTGAGATTGTTAATGAATATGGGAAAGTGTCGAGTGGGATGGTGAAGAGAGCCACGGATGAATTGACTCGGCCGAAATGGACAGGGAATCTGAAGGGGTGTTGGGAGCATTATTAAATTTCGGTGCGTTCTTGCACCTACGCTTTTGTTGCAGCAGTTGGGCGGTATCCTTCTGTATATTCTGCTTCAAAGAGCAACCTTGTAACCGAGTGTTTCACAGTAAACATCTATCTGTCCGAGAAAAGGAAAATTCTGTCCCATGCCGCTGCGCGAGAACCCGGAACGAAAGGTTGGAACTGTTGGGTATGCGTTGAAGTTGAGAGGGAAACGTGCGTTTTAATTTCGGGGGGTCCGAGTGACGGCGGATGCATAAGAGATGAGAGAAAGATTGACGTTGAAGTTTACATCTGTGATATCTCGTTACAAAGGAGGAACCAGACTGAGAGAAACAGAGTTATGATTGGGAAAGGACTTCTGCGGTCATCCTCGCCCTCTCTCGACCACTCCCCCTTGCCTCTTGTCGCCATGATTTTGCAGACCATCAGTTGTCAATGATCAATCTTGAGAAAGCTTTTAGGAAGCTCACAGGTTGCTGCGAAGTCATCACGTCGCCGTGGTGGCTCCTCCATTCCTCAGTCCACTCCCACTTATTGAAAATTTTAAGCAGTAGTCAAGTTTAACTTTCCAATCTATGACCCAATTATTGCAAGCATCATTTGTTGCTTGTGAGTGTCCAGACTGTTTGGGTGAAATTCTCTGGATGCAGGCACCGCTTCTGATGGCTGGTGAGTGGTGGAGCCTAGCTTTTGCAACTTGGCAGTAACGAGCAAACGTTGTTCATGTCGTATGCTACGATCATCGTGTAGCGAGTCAAGTGCGGAAATCGATCTGTTGAACCTTTTCCCAAAGCAATGCTCTTCACCATCACACCGCCAAGCAAAAAGAGCTGGAAACTGATGGTCCTGTTCGCAAGCGAGTAGAGCCGGGGACCGAGGATGCGATTCTATTTTGTGCAGTGAAAAAAAAAATGATCATGTATCATAGAATTCGGGAGAACATACGGAATTGATTGTGAATTTGGAAAGAAAAAAGATACGTATTTCGGCGCTGTTGGTTCCTCCGCGTTCCACTCTTGCATCACCGCCGTTTCCGTTGCTTGTGCAATGAAAGCCCTGCCTTCTCCGGTGCCCGGTCGTGTTCCTCTGCAAGTTGCTGCCTCCCTCTCTGTCCCATCTAGGGAAGATTTGATACCATACGCAAACGTGTATAAATGTCTTGTCTGGGCCATAGTCCCTCTGTCGAGCTTTTACTTTTGTTGTCTTCGTGTGAATTCAAGAAACCAAGGGTTAGCTTTGAAAAAAGCCGCCTAATTAAGTCATATGCTGTATAGTTCATTTGGGAACGAATATCCCATTGTTGAGTTTTTACCCGCTGTGTTTCCCCTTAACTTGTTGACATGTTCTGGAAACTGGTGCCTGCAGCGTTGAAAGGATTGGAACTCGCAAGCTTCCTGAGGAATTATTCAGTGCTAATGTCAACCAAAAGCGTCCCGACTCCTGGTTATCCATTTGCAGGCAGAACGAAAGTTGAATTGGTCCTCTTGTAGTTGTGAATACTGTTTCATCATTGTTTTCAAATGTATGGGGGATTTGATGTCGAAAACATTTTTGGGTTATGTTTTTTATTTGCTGTTATTGTTTTGTTCACTCTCGCACTGCGTCTTTGTTGGATTAGTGTAGATTCTGATGAGGCGTACGAAATTCTTCATTTCCGCTTTTATCGACGACGACCGCTTTGAACGGGGGGGAAACAACAGGGATGGAGCGATTTCCGCAAATGAGGAATTTGGGTAGGAGATTGAAAGAGAACATGAAATTGATTGAACGGGGAAGCCTATGAGTCGGAGATGACGCAGAATAAAGCCCGTGTTGTTTCTAAAATGCTTCCGTCTTTATAATTCAAGTTATTGCAGTGATCGTTAAGTTTTACTTTCAACATTGCGTGAATTCTCGTTTTTTGCAGGATTTCTCCATCTGTTATTTGTGAATATTCCCACAGATTGTGATGGACCTCAAGTACGCGAATCTCCCTGGCATTGTGAGTATTAGATCAGTTCGCGAATGAACGTCATGATTAGGATTATCTGAATACATTTCATTTAGGCTCATGGGGAACCCGATGTTTACGAGTCGTCAGACCTTCCTGAGTCGGAGCAGTCGCAACTAATTCAGCAGGTTAATTTTTAAACGTTTGAATCACTACGGATTTTTCTACGTTCTCTTTTAATTTTAGGTTGATACCAGTGCTGCTGTTGATGTTATCCCGGTCGACGTTGAGCAGTCGTTGAAAAAATTCAAAGGTTGTTGGCTGGATCCAGAATTCTCAGATTTCTCTGATAGGATTCTGCCGCGAGGGCATCGCGGTTACGATCAAAGGTAGCCGCGATTCAGGACTGGAATGGATGCGAAGCTCAAGTTTTGTGCTAACGTGATGGAGAGCTTCATGACTTTCTCATCTTTGTAGACACGGGGAATGGGTGCTAGCTGACGAAGGAAGCGAAAACCTCGTGCAAAAGTATCAGCGATTGAAAAGGGAATCGGAAGAGTTACTTGAAGATTTGAAAAGGTGCAAAGAATTGAAGCCTGGTGCGGACGATCTGCCAGCCAAATTACTTCCGAGCGCTAGTGATCTGTTCGATGAGTTGAGCTGTCTCAAACTGGAAAACGCATTGGGTGCCGAATGCGTTGCCACCCTTGGAGACGCGAATTCTATATCGAAAAAGTATGTAATGCCCAGTGCCGAATTCGGTGAAGCTTCAACAGTTTCCTTCACTTTAGAAAACTGACAGCCGCTGTTGATTCATTGCGAGACGCGAAGAGCACGAAAGATGCTTCCGGAAAAGAAATAGCTGGTCAAGATTCTTTGAAGTATGAAATCGTTCATCTTCCCGGGAGAGAAAACTATGAAAATATGAAGTCACTTTGTACCATTGATGAGAGACTCAGCGCTTTGGAGAAAGTGATCGGAAATCAGCAAGCTAGTTCTATGGTACGTGTAGTGTCTGGGTTGGGTTGAAATTTTGGTTGTCAATCCCGTGCTATTGAATATGTGGTAACTTCGCTAGAATTTTCCGTCTTTTACAGAATGTTTTAAACTCCGATGTTTTCGGCGTGCCCCTGATATCCGCGGTCAAAACGCTTGCTTCAAAGATAAACTTGCTGGATGCGAGTAAGATGGACATGATGGAAGCCCGTGCGAGTTCCTTGTTGAATAAGGTGCATGAAATAAGTGATCGTGCTGCTGCTGGTGCACAAGAAAGAGACACGGCAAAAGTGAGATATTTTTCTTGTGTTGTTTTGCCTTTTCTTGCAAAATCTATGTTCCTCTAACAGCTCAATGAACTGCATTCCTTGATGAAATCAACGGAGGCCATGCGTGGTATGATGCCTGATCTCGTGGATCGGCTCGTTGCTCTAAAGGATATCCATGAACAAGGTAATCGGGAATAAACCGGGAAATAAATCACTTCAACTGATCCTTTACAGGCCCGCAGGAAATGTTGTAGATTTGTAACATTAAATAACTGGGTCTAATGGGATATCATTTTTAATCCCCGCGTTCAGCTGATCGTAAGGGCACAGTTTCTTACTATGGTATTTTTCGTTCATAGCTGGTGATGTGTTGAGGCTGGTAACGGAAATGGACGAAGTTCAGAAAAAGCTTTTGATGCAAATCCGGGAAGAGCATGAACGGTTGGACGTTCTCGATGCCTCAGTGAAGCAAAGTGTTTCCGTGATGATGGGTAACGTTGATAAGCTCGAGGAGCGAATCAAAACCTTGAAGAAATAATGGTTGACTTAAAAGTTCCAGACACGCGAATTTTCACGTTGCCTATTACATTCTATCTGAACCGTCTCGTCGAATGAAGTCTTTTACCGTATAATTGCGATGCTGACATGTGGAAATCAATAACGATTTGTTCGCTAAAAATACCTGGTCTTTTGCTCTTGTTTCTGATGACGAAGCTCCTTGATGAAATGTGAATTTTATTATTGTAGATATTTTAAATCGAGGTGGTGTCGCGTGCGATGGCTTACCTGCAGACTCGAGTGATCACTCACCCGCAGCGAGTCTGTTCATTATATAAGAAATTGCTGAGAAACTTGGAGGCTACTTATCGAGAACGCATCGAGTACCGCGTTCAAGCTGTTCTACTGCGAGCCGAATTTGACAAGCATAAGGACGAAAAGGATTATATTGTTGCCAAGCAGTTACTTGAGCGTGGGGAAAAGCACCAATTTGAAACGCAACATTATCAAGCGAAATGTTTTGCCAATTCACCCGGTGGTGCTGCCTACGATCGTGAAGTGAATCCACCGGATTGGCTGATGGATTACTGGCACCCTTTGGAGAAAGCCATGTTTCCAGATTATTTCGCCAAGCGTGAAGCAAGAAAAAAGGAGTACATTGAATTCTACGAAAAGACTTATGGGAAAAATTCGGATATGAAGCATTGAGCATGCATTGTGATTTTGAGAAAGTGTATTGTTCCCAGTCTCTCTGACTAGTTTCTTAGCTTAGTAAAGATAATCTTCCATGTGTTCTCTCTTGTCGACTTCATTCGGTTGGTGAAATCCCTGTATGAAAATTAAATCGTTACAACGATTCCGTTGGACCCATTTGTATTTTCGTATTTTTTCATTTATAAATCTCAACATCATCCCAGTTCCAAACTACCCCGTGCCGGAACTTGATTTTTCTCAACGCGCATGGATAAATGAGAATTGATGCGCGCGTGGATCCGTCACTCTTGGCACATGGTACAACACAAAATTCCATTCAACCTCAAGAAAAGAAAACTATCTGAAAATTGTTTTAATATTTGTGGCGTGATGATAAATTTTCTGAGTTCGTCTTCGAAAAATGTGTGCCATTTCGGAAAGAAACCAATTATGAATAGTAATCAACCATGGCATTGTCGTGAAATTCGTTATGGAGCGGAGAGACTCTCATCAAATGAAAAACTGCTGGCAGATCCGGTAAACTTCTGAATGAGTAACAACTGTAATGAGATTCTTTGTTGAGAATCGTTCTCATTAAAAATCTACGACCTCAAACGAACTTCCTTCATCACAGCAAATTGGTTTATTCGAATCGTTCTCGATCGGTCGCTCTTCATATTGCCGTCGGTGGATGGCTTTGAGCTGGTGGTCTTCTGGAGTTGAAGCCGAACCTAAGAACTCCGTTAGCGTCGGGCTGAGGTAAGTTGAAGTTTTGGGAATCGAAGTCCCGTCCGACTGGCGAGGATTCTGGAAAAATCACTGTGTTCAAAAGTTTGAGAATTTGTGTTCATGCTATATACATACTAAGGGAACTAATGACGGGTTCGCTGTGATCCTGTGTTGAAGGTTGTTGAAGATTCTCGCGCTGAAACCTTTCGATGGCTGAGAATGGTGTCCAAGTTGTTGGCGCGATAAATTGCGCATTTTCTGCTTGCGGTGGAATGTCGGGTTTCACCTGCGGGATAATTTCGTGATAGTCTTCCGTCGGATTTTCGGTGTCCTGTTCATAATCATATTCTTTGAAATCTTCATCTAACTGTGAAGATGAAGTTGTCGCCGGTACTGTAGAAGAAATCGCTGTCGTTGTTGGTATGCTGTCCCTTTTGATCGTGACATACTGTGGAAACTCTGGTCTTGAATTATTGGAAGTATCGAAAGATTCCTCTCCTTTTGTGAACTTCACGCGAGGCGATACGACGGGTCTTCGCACAATGGGCTTTCGTGAAATCGCTTGTGTATTCCGTGGCGTTGCGTTGTTCAATACTCCTTGTGACCTTGTCCTCGTGCGAGAAATTTGCGCATTTGCCCTCGAAATGACACTTTGCGGAGACGCTGCTGGAAGTCTTTTGTTAATACTGGGTTTCTGTTTTGGAAACGCTGGTATTACTCTTCTTCTCTCAGTATCGGCATTCAATCTTTCTTCCGAGGCCAATGAGCTCTGACGAATTCGCGAAGTGGATGCTTCTGTTGTTCCCAGAATAGCGGAAAGGAAAGCTTCAGTTGCCTCTGGTGGTAGGGAGAGCTTAGCAAGATTGTCTAGAATTTTCTGATTTTGATCATCCGTGGACAAAACTTTGCTGGACAATTGTGGTTCGACTTCAGAAAATGGTTGGATGGAACTGGTACTGTTTGGTGTCGTTGTAGTAGCTGGTTCGATTACTACCGGCCGAAGAATTCGATTTGGCTTTTTCGGTACTTCTTGACCGATATCAAAGTCGTTATTTTCAGCGATGCCAGGTTGTCGAATGCTGGCTTTGGTTATGATGGCTTTCTGATTCGCCACGGACTGTTTCCGAGGAACTCTGTTCGTCTGTCTAGATGGAGTCGGCCGGTTGACTTCCTGATCGCTATTGGATTTTACCGGTCGAGCTTCACCGAAATGCTGCAAATTGGCGTCAAGCGTTTGACTTTTCGCCCTTGGCGGTGATTGCACCCGTGTTGGACGTCTAGGCGGCTGTCTTCTTGAAGTAGGTTGAAGCGTGGTTGAAATATCGGCGTCGTTCGTGTTTGGTTCGGTGACCGGTTTTGGACCCCGTGTTCTTGTGCGTGTTCTCGTTGGAATTTGCCCTTGCTCCCCGTTCGGCTGTCCAACAGCTGGTCTCACGACATTAGTACGGTTTCGCGTTCTTTGAGGCGGCCTACTAGCAGGATTACTGAGTGACGCTGATGGTACTTGTCCGGTCGTTGGCTCTGGTGTCTTTCTAGAGGCTCTCAAGATGTGAGAGCGGTTGCGCAATGGAGGGCTTTGGGGTTCGGCTACCTCCTCCGTTGAAGTTTCATCGATTGTTCTCCGTTCCGCCGTTGGTATGCTCTCTGGAACTGCCGGTTGGTTTTGCTGGGTTTCTGAAAGCTCGGAAGATCTGTATCTGCCCAGATCACTGCGCGTGAACCCAGCGGAAGTTCCTCTACGTTTTGGTGCCACGGGTTGACGGGTTGAGATCCTGTTGTTGCTTGATGATGCCTGAAGCTGTTGATTTTTTATTGTCCTACTGTGGGTAATGAAACTTTTTGCTTCACGCGTTGTGTCGCTCTCTGGGGCTCGGTTGGGCCGAGCGCGGATCCTTGAATACGCTTTGCTTTCTATGTTTGCGATATTCACAGCTGGGGATTGCTTCCTGGTTTTCAGAATATTTGCCCTGGAGTCGCTCCATTGAGGATTGGTTTGCTTTGTTGGATTGGTGAATATTTTTGGTGATTGTTCTTTATTGGGGTCTTCCAAGATGAAATAATCTTCTGTGAGGTCAGCCCTCCGTGATAAGAGACCCTCGGGTATCTTTCCGCTATTTCCTTTTGTTTCCCCTTCGTAATAATCATACTCGAGCTCTGGTTGTATGGTTGTTGGCTGAGTTCGAACTTTTGCCTTTTTGTTTCCTTGGGTTGAGCTTTTGATGGTGGATGCTTCTTTTGAGTTCTGGTCTCCTAAAAGAAGATTTTGATTGAAGAGCTCTGTCGGTCGAAAAGCAGGTTGTCTGTTTGGGGCAGGTTTTTTCGTGTTGAATTGTTCTACTGGATTTGGACGCTTCGGCGTCCGTACGTTTTCGAGGCGCTGGGATTTTTTCGGTTTGCTCTGGACGAGGACAGGATTGATAAGCCTGTTGCTGATTTTCGAACTCCGACGACGTCCGATTTTCTCGCGAATGTTGTGGATATTATTTTGACGTTGTTTCTGGGTCAGCTCGAGTTCCCCTGACCGAGCTGACTGATCCGCAGATGCCTCTTTTCGCTCAAAGCTGGATAAGATGCTTGCCAAACTTGTGTCGGAATTGAAGTCGGATAGAAAAGGCCAACCCAATGGCTTTTTCTTGTCCGGGTCGTCATTTGTTATCACCTTCTTCGATCCCTGCGGTTGAAACGTTCCTTTCCGATAGGCGGTATCCCTTAATGCGTTCAACCTCACTTGCGTCGAAATGGCATTGAGTCTAATATCGTCCTCCTTGACTTCTGCTGCCTGTCTCGATCTGATGGAGTTCTGCGATTGTCGTGTTTGGTACGAACCCTTCCTTGGAGAGATGGTAATTTCTTGTCTTCCTTTGTATCCGTTTGTTTCAGTGTCGGACGCAGCGCCGATGCCTCCCAGTGTGAAGCCTTCGGGCAATTCATTGAGTAGGAATGGGTATTTGAAAAGGGATTCCAATGACATGCGCTGCACTGATGATTCGTCCAATTGCAAGTCTGTTTCCATCGTGAAACACGAGGAAATGCTTGAAACGAGGATCAGCAAGCAGTTGAGTATCCTGTAACGAAAATAAGCGATCAATGAATTAATGAAATTCTCATGAACAAATAGAATACTGTATAAGAAAATTGAAAGATAACTAATTGAGCAATTAACAAATAAAAGGAAGAGTCGGAGCGTATTGAAAAATCTTTTTGCATGTCCTTAGACAGTGTAGAGTGATGATAAGTTGAAGGGGAAAGGTCTTGAAGCTGACGTGACTTAGTTTTTGATAATTGGACTCGGGCGAAGGAAGAGATTTGAACTGAAGGATAATTCTGAATTGAGGAACTGGTCATAAGCTGTTCCCTTGAAGCCTTCAACAGCTACGAAGTAGGGATGAAAATATTCACGTACGTTTCTCATTTTAAGTTCGTTTTGATTTCTGGTCACCCCTCCAGAGATGATTTCCATGCTTCGAAGAATTAATTGAAAACTCCTGAAAAAATATCGTGAGGTTCACGTTGGCTCAGGTCAGGACTGATTTTCAAGTTGCTGCTCTTTCATTCTGGTGGATACCGGCGATGAAGAAATTCTTCTGTCATTTGAAATTTCATGGACCGGAGGGCATTGCGGGAAAGAATCCATGTTTCTGAACTGTGGGCGTTAGGAATGCTGATCATAGTTGGCCAATCGCACCTTGCAATGTTGTTCGTGTCGTGTCGCACAAGCCTTGCATCTATTGACCTTTACAAAATTCCGGGACTCTTCTGATGGGGACGATCCGATCAGTATTTTTCAGGAGGTATCAATTGCGAATTCTATTCTGGTCTACTGTAAATAGTGTATAATATTCAACATTCGATCCTTGAGGGTTTGATCCATTAGTTATAAGACTGGGCAAATGTGTGGGTGATCTCTCAATGTCGAAGACTGATCTGAATGAGAGAGAAAAAAATTTGTGATGAAAGTGTTTCCAGTCCTGCGCTCATGTTCAAATGGGAGAAACCAATTTCCTGATGGCGTTTATCTTAAGGATGCTCATGAGAGCGGGCTGAGCGACCTAAAATTTCGATGGGTATAAACAAGCGAAAGCACCAATTGAAATTTTTTTATACGTTGCTTTCTTTACGTTTAAGGATTGATCTCATGTAATTGAGACAATAGAGTATCCCGTACAGAAATCGGCATGCTAGATTTTAAAAAGGTTGTAGGAGTCTGCCGAAAGCGCTTGTGATCCTATTATACGAGGGTTCTAACAAAAGTTCTCGGAATGAAAATGAAGATGGCGTCTAATCGAGCTGGAAAAAAATTATTCTTTAGGGCAACCATATTCTTTGGCACAAAAAAAAAATCAGCCCAGTTTGACAATTTTTTTCAATTTTTTGCAAAATTAAATGGCGGAATTGCCTTAGATGACCTGGAGGCAACCCTTAGAGAAAATTCCAAGTTGATTTCAAGAATTCTGAGGGGGAAACTGGGCCACCAAAAAAAAAAGCTGCAGGAAGGGTGCCTCGTCTGTTGAGTGTATAGCAAAACTCTGCCAGGGTAAATTTTTCAAAAAATTGAAAAAAATTGTTGAACTGGGCTGATTTTTTTTTGTGCAAAAGAATATGGTTGCCCTAAAGAATAATTTTTTTCCAGCTCGATTAGACACCATCTTCATTTTCATTCCAAGAACTTTTGTTAGAACCCTTGTATAGACGATGATATAAGTGCCAATTTAAAATTTTATTATATCCTAAATACTGATGTTACGGTATCTGTACATCTTGAAGTAAGGAAAATAACCACTACTCTGTTTTTTGTTTTTGTTTTTTTGCCGAATGCGCCGTTTTTTGCTAAGGTTGTCGAGGGGTGAACCCAGAAATAACGGAGGTCTAGATGGCGTGCCGGAATTGATTTTGATTTTTGCGTTAAATTTAGTGTGCAATTCGGCATCATCAGATTCTATAAATGTGCACTGTGTCATCGAAGTTGAGGAATCGTGAGTTTCTTTAGGTGGATGGAAACGGAAAACTTTTATTATAGTACTGCTGGACAATTATGTATAAATGCAGCAATTCTTCCAGAAAAGCGCGAGTAGAGTTTTAGGACGTCAACGAATTTAAATGCATCGTCAGTTGGTTAAGCTTCAGTGAAATTTTTTTACTTTGAATATTTGAAGTCGGTATCCTACGTTGGTGCAACTTTTGAGGCATTCGTGTTATTTTTTCGGATAAACTGAAAACCGTGTTCTTGCTGGAAGTTTAATGATGCACCATGATTCCGACGCAGTTTTAATCAAGGTCTTATTAAACGGGGGAGGGCTGCATTCCATGTTTCATAAAATAGATCCATGTGATGGAGGACGTCCTCGCATTAATCGTGGAAGATGCGTGGTTTTGCGAAGAAGCTGTACTCCTTGAAGGCACAGGTACAGTACTTGTATATACGCTTACTTATTTTTCCTCTCGTAGGAGTAGGAGTGGGCTTAAAATCACGGCCACATTTTCCGAAGTGCCGTGGCACGCTGTTTTGAATAACAGGAGTCATCGAAACCGCATTACATGCTTCAGTACTGCGTTCTTTGCATGCGTAACACGATGTTATGACGTGCTCCAGTTCCCCCAAGTTATGACGTGTCATCACCACAATACAAGTACAATATATAGTGAGTATACTTCACACAGCACGGAATTGCATTTTATTTCTTCGGGGAAATTGACCATCAGAAGTAGATAAATCTTGTCAGTTCCCAATAATGCGTGGGATTATCTGAAATTTCACTTCAATATCCTTTTGATATTGAAGTACATAGCATGCTATTTAGGGAATGTTTTCTGCTACGGTTATCCGTAAAAAAAAAACTAGTAAAATTCTACATCTTTTTGCTGCATGATGTGTTAGGAAAGGGGGATTTATTTTGACGATAGGCAAAGTAATTGTTTCTCCTTGTCATTCTGTCAATTTTTTTTTTCTGCGAGGAAATCCGGCAAAAAGCAAGAAGCTACTCTAAACAAGAAAGTTTTGCATGGCTCGACAGCAGTGAAGTGAAATATCAAGTACAGTACTGTATTAAGTCAACTGATACGAATCCCATATAACCCTGGTGAGAAAACCTTAAACTCTTTCTTCTGGCGTTCTTCATATGAGATAACATGAGCTGAACGCACGAATTTGTTGAAAAAAAAAATACTTGGATCGGACGTAAAAAAAAAATTAATTCAAGAACTTCAAGTTGACGTTTTCGAAGGATGACAGATTTTTAAACCTGCCTTTCAGTCTTGTGAATAAAATTCACCCTCGAATTTAGTGCCGATTTCGTATTCAGAATGCGATGAAAATTTTCTAGTTTTGCTATAATATCCAGCAATGTGTTATAGCAAATCAATTTTCTGGACCTCTATTATTAAAATACTGTATATACCATAGTCTTATTCAAGAGTGCATGAGCAGAATCCCTACAAATTTGAATGTTTGCCGCAGATTCGTTCAATAGATTTAATTCTTCATTGTACTGGGAAAACTTCTGAACAAAAAGGGAAGAAATGGAATTTTTTTTAGAATCTAGCTGTGATTGAGGCCAGAAAGAAAAAAATTGAAGGGATATTTTTTGCTCACTCACATTTTTCAATGCTCTATTGTGTCCGCGAAACCTCAAATGAAAAAGCGATGCCTTTTACGCGATAGTTTTTGCTATTTATTCGTCCTCTATAGATGCGTTATCCCGAAAGTTCTTTGATTATAGTTGATCGCAAGTATTGTGTGGTTTGGGCGAATATATAGTGATACTGCGATTCCGGTTGCATTTTCTACTTGTTTATACAGCTCCACGTACCGTCGAGTCATTTCGCGGATTTTTATGGTGGGGTTTTGTGCACAATTTTCCTTCGTGAAATGAGCCAGCAGAAGATATAGGTTACGCATGGGAATGCTAGAAAAGTTTTTAATCTGGAAAGAATGAACATCCCTCCAGTTTCAGACACGAGTAAAGCAGATACAGTACTTTATGTTTCTGTTGATTAATTTCGTGATTTCAATGGCATGGGTTGCAATTTTCTCACTTTCCTGCAGCATTTGAAAACCATAGAAATCTCTAATCTTCATATCATATGCCTTATTTTCGAACTTATTGATGTAATCAGATTTATTTTAGATACTTGGAAGTTCAGAAGTGGATTATTATTTCTGCTGATGCTCCACAAAGTGCGCGTGTGTCATTCAATCCCATATTGCATTATATATTGTTAATTTTTCGCGCTGCAATAATTTCGGCGGAATTATATACGTTATGCAAGATAAAACTGATTTTTAAGTCGCGCAAATCCGCTTCCGAAAAAATCGCGTGCCATTATTCTGCTTAAAGGCGCATAATGATACATTCGAAGCCTCCTGATGATTTCCATGGTATATTACGCTCTGTTTCGTCATCTCCAAGATGAGCAGCTGAAAAAATTAACTCCTATCATGGAAATGTTTTTTTTTAATGAAGATATTTGTTATTACAACTTCTGCTTATAGTGTTTTTCAATGGAAAGGCGTTCGGGGAAACTTTACCATATGGTTTTGCAATGAAGGCTGACGATGATTGATTATTGTTTCAATAATTTCAGGAACACCGCAAGCAGCTTCGTGAAACTAAGTGCGATCAACGGAGGTGCAGTAATTATGAGGATAGCATGACGTGCGTAGAGGGAGAATTCCTTCAGGCCTTCCGTGAAACAAATAATGCTTCGGATAACAGAAGGTTATTGTTGAATACATCGAGCTTATCCTTTGCTTTGATATACTGTAGAACATTTTTAATCATTTCCCCCTTCATCCAATGAGGAAATATTACCGTCCCTATAAAAAAAACTCAAGGCTCTGGGAAGAGAATATCATGCCCCGAGGAAAGGGAATGGTGCTCTGCTGTGAACCTATTTCTTGCCGTAAATCAGTGCGAATGCGCGTCGTCGTTATAATGGCGCCGTTTTCCAAGGTGACGAGGCTGAGATACTTTACTTTGATAATTATATTTCCTGGCGAAAAAATGAATGAGATGTGTCGACCGATTCAGCGATCGAAAAATTAGTGACATCCGGAGTGCAAAGGCATA